GCCTCCCAAGTAGCTGGGACCACAGGCGCCCGCCACAACACCCGGCTATTTTTTGGTTGCAGCTGTCATTGTTGTTTTGGCAGGCCCGAGCTGGATTCGAACCTGCCACCTGAGGTGCATGTGGCTGGCGCTTTGGCCACTTGAGTCACAGGCGCCAAGCCTGAGCCTTTTTTTGAGACAGAGTCTCACTTTGTCACTCTGGGTAGAGTGTCCTGGCATCATAGCTCACAGCAACCTCAAACTCTTGGGCTCAAGTAATCCTTACATCAGCCTCCCAAGTGGCTGGGACTATAGGTGCCTGCCACAGTGCACAGCTATTTTGAGAGATGCAGTCTAGTTCTTGACCTCCCACTCTAGAAAAGCAGCAAGACTGGAGTCTCTAGTGGTTTCTTTCTCATTCATTGATCATCTTGGGCATTGCACAACAAACAGAAGGGGATCATTTTATCCTGTAAGTGTTGCTCTCTGTCTGGGTGGCACTTAGACCCTACTTGTTCTATAGGAAGCCCCACTTGATCAGCTAATGGTACTCTCCTAATCTTGATGTTGCAGGCTGCTGAGAACCAGCCCTAGACCTCTGCTTGAGGGTCCTTCCTCTGAAGACATCACCAGTGTGTGGAGCCCGCCCCACACCCACCCCCTGCCAAACCACGGCCTTTACCTGTGTCTTCCGGTGTTTCCCGTGCGACCCGTCCTGTGGGAGTGCCTCGTGGGCTGCCCCAGAGTTCACCCCACGATCAGCGGCGCCAATGGTGAAGATGACAAGATCCAAGACTTTCCAGGCATACCTGCCCTCCTGCCACCGAACCTATAGCTGCATTCACTGCAGAGCTCATTTGGCCAATCACGATGAACTAATTTCCAAGGTACATCTTTCCTGCAGGCCTTCCTTGCCTCCCCTCGGGGAGGGTGCTTACTGCTTCTAAGGTTGCAGAGGTGTACAAACTCCCCCCAGGAGACCAGGGTATTTGTACTCCTTTTTCACAGGGAGGCTGACCTGCATGACTGTCACACTCAACTGAGAAATAATTCTGAGTTGGAGGGACAGGATAGTAGTGTAGTTAGCTATTTTGGAAATTAGATATCATCCTTCTTGGAGAGTTTTAGGGGGCTAGCAGCTTGGAAGCCAGAGAGGGGCCGGGCAGATCATTGATTGGAACCTCATTCTCTGCTGGGTTTAGGTTGGCAGTTGGACACTGTGAAAATGAATTCTAAGAAAATTCTAATGAATTCTAAGTCTTTTAAGAAGGGTTCCTTAGCTGAAATGAAATGGGCCCTGGGAAGGCTGTGACGCTGTGGAAGTACTGAAATGAGTTGTTTTGGTGAGGACCAAAAGTAAAAGAGTTGACCCACTGGCCCACGGGGGTCTCATATACATGAGGTAATATGGTGTGAAATTTGGTCATAATCAGGAAAGAGAAAGGAATCCTACTTTTCCTGAAGATCTTTGGCAGCTGCTCCCTAACGTTGGAGTTGGGTAGGTTATTAATGAATAAATAAACCCAGTATCCCTGTTGTGCAATCCAGGAACCGGATCCTTTAGGCAGCATTCTCAGGGGAACTTACCCCGCTGCTGGCCCTAAATTCCCAGAGAAGGAGAAACAGGTTTTACTAGGCTGCATGATAAAGAGATCATGGGAGACTTTTCCCTTAAAAAGCATCTTTACTGAGAATGGTCTTCATACCACTACAGTAAAAACAATAAACCTTTATGCAGACCCAAATTAATTTTTTTAAAAAAATCAGTGTTCCAGATCTATATATAAGAGCTGCTGGGAAAAGGTGGCATTGCTTTCTTGTCTCTGGTTTGATCGCCCCAGCCCGAGAAGGGCAAAGGATCCAGCCTGCAATTACAGAACAGTTTTTTCCAGCAGGCTGATTTGACATAGGAAGTGGAGAAGGCTGCCCAGACAACCAAGTCTGTGGAAGAGGGGACGTGCAAATCATGCCTCCTATTCTAGTGTCCAGGGTCACCGAGCCTAAAGCCTCGAGCCTTGTCCTCTGCCCCACTTATTCTCCTCTGAGTTTCTGCTCATTGCTCTCTTTTATGCTGCTTATGTTTCAGTCAGCCTTTAGCTTTCTTCTCTTTCAACTAATCTATCTTGTCTCAGACTCTGTTTGAATTTTGGAGAACCCCTTAAGTCTGGAAGTTTGGCTGTGGGGAGGCTGTGTCAGTGAGGGAAGAGAGGGGTCAGTCCCCTGGGCATTGGAAGTGAGCCTGCAAACTTGGAGGGGAATACAAATTCTGTTTTTGTTTTTGTTTTTTTTT